TAAAAAAATCAATCACCACTTTCAAGTTACCTAATAAAATTCAAATTACAAATTACCTAATAAATCTATACAATTATTAAAAGAGTTTCTATAAAACTCTAACACAAAATATAATATATATATATATATATATATATATATATATATATATATATATATATATATAGATCACCAATTTCAAATTACCTAATCAAATTCAAATTACAAATTAACTAATAAAATTCAAATTACAAAAATAGTTTTTATAAAAAGAGTTTCTATAAAACTATAAAATATTTATTAATTAGTATAAAAAAAAAAAATCTATACTATTTTTAAAAGAGTTTCTATCAAACTCCAACACAAAATATAAAAAAATATTTATTAATTAATATAAACAAAGTTTTTATAAAAAGAGTTTCTATAAACTATAAAATATTTATTAATTAATATAAAATATTAATTAATTGATATAAAAGAGTTTTTATAAAACTAGTTTATAAAAATAGCTTCTATAAAACTCTAAAAATTACCAAACAAAATCAATCACCATTTTCAAATTACCTAATAAAATTCAAATTACAAATTACCTAATAAATCTAATTTCTATAAAACTCTAACACAAAATAAAAAATCAAATTACCTAATAAAATTTAAATTACAAAACTAGTTTTGTAAAAGACTTTTTTATAAAACTATAAAAGAATTATTAATTAATATAAAACTTTTATTGAAAAATATTTGTTAATTAATATAAAAATAGTTTTTATAAAAAGAGTTTCTATAAAAAAAAAAGTTTCTATAAAACTCTAAAAATTAGCTAATAAAATCAATCAGCACTTTCTAATTACCTAATAAAATGCAAATTAAAAATTACCAAATCTATACTATTATTAAAAGAGTTTCTATAAAACTCTAACACAAAATATAAAAAGAATACCACCGTTTTCAAATTACCTAATAAAATTCAAATTACAAATAACCTAATAAAATTCAAATTACAAAAATAGTTTTTATAAGAGTTTGTATAAAACTATAAAATATTTATTAAATAATATAAAAAAATCTATACTATTATTAAAAGAGTTTCTATAAAACTCTAACACAAAATATAAAAATATATATATATTTATTAATTAATATAAAAAGAGTTTCTATAAAAGTATAAAATATTTATTAATTAGTATAAAATATTTATTAATTGATATAAAAAGAGTTTATGAAAATAGTTTCTATAAAATTCTAAAAATTACCTAATAAAATTAATCACCATTTTCAAATTACCTAATAAAATTCAAATTTCAAATTACCTAATAAAATTCAAATTTCAAATTACCTAATAAATCTATTTTCTATAAAATTTAACACAAAATATAAAATAAAAAAATATTGACTAATTAATATAAAAAGAGTTTTTATAAAAAAGAGTTTCTCTAAAACTCTAAAAATTACCTAATAAAATTCAAATTACCTATTTTATCTATTTATTTCTAAGAAAATTATACTATTATTTAAATAAATAAATAAACATTAAATATTACCTAATAAAATTCAAATTACTTATACTATTCTTAAAAGAGTTTCGATAAAACTCTAACACAAAATATAAAAAAAATATTTATTAATTAATATATAAACAATTAAAAAATATATAAAAAGAAAAATTCGATAAGTTACAAAACATTCACCACGTGCAATGCACGTGTCTTTTCCTAATATTTAAAATATCAATTGAGAAAGATAGGCATGAGAAATATAATGTTAATGGAAAAAAACGAAGAAACCAAATATAGGGAGCCCACTCCATCCTTAATTTTTTAAGCTCGGGTTGAATTTGGGCTCACAAACTTGAACTAAAATTTCGATCTTACAACTCAGGTGGTTGTTTCAGGTTAGAATTCAGCTTGCTGTAATAACGAATAAAAACCATATTTGGGCTTACAACTCGAACTAAAATTTCAATCTTACAACTCAGGTCGTTGTTTCAGGTTAGAAATCTGTTTGTTGTGATAACAAATAAAACCATATTAGGGTTATTAAATTATTAATTACTTAACTGATATTTCCAAATGATAAGATATACTGTGTTAAATATAGTGTGTCAATTATCTTATAAACAAGTTAAAAAATGAAAAGCAAAAATTAATTTTATAGGTAGTACTTCCAATTTAAGCACTAATCACTTCAAAGTTGATTTCAAGGTGTGCAAATGTGTGGGCAGGTGCGATAGACCTGAGTTACTACACTAAAGTTCTAAATTATTTGTATGATATAACGCGTTTTAAAGTCGTGATGGTCATTAACTTATCAGAACTTCAAAATTAATTAAGCACGCTTACTCTGAAGAGTACCAGAATAGGTGACCTCCTGGTAAGTCTCTGGTTCGGGTGAGACAAAAACGGACAATATTGTATATATTTGGATAAGCTGAGAATTGTTACACATGGTATCAGAGCCAGAGCCCAACCGGAAGTGCGCCCAACGAAGACGTTGGGCCATCACAGGGGATGATTATGACGACTTCCATGGGCAGGTGTGATATAGGCGGCTTTTGTGGACGGGTGTGATATAGGTGAGTGCAAGATATTAAATAAGTTACCACACTGGCATATTAGAGGATGTCATAACCCCACATTATCGGGGAAAGGTGAAGTGTTATATGTAAGGTTCAAACATCCTTCTATAATACAATGTATTTTAAAACTGTGATGGCCGTTAACCTATCAAAACTCCGAGTTCATCATGCGGGTGACAACCTTAAAAGTCTTTGATCCTACTGAGTCCAAAGCGGATGATATTATATTGGGTAGGATGAGGGTTATTCCACAATATTGTCGTGCTTACTTCAGTAGTGACTTCTTTGAAACGAGGGAGATGCGTGTGCAACACAATATCCAACAGTTTACTTTTAATACAGAAGGACATTAGTGCTTTGTAAGATATCCACGAAAAGTTTGAGACTCTAACTGCCAATAAGATTGGGTCTAATTATTAGACCCCTTTGTGTCCAAGTAGATTTTTATTTAGGATTGAGTTGGATTCAGATTCTCTCTCTCTAATTTCGTGATTTGGGCCTCATTATTAATTTTTAATAATCTTTAGACACCGTTTGCTAGTACCTAAAATTTTGGAGTTTTTGTCCCACTGTGTATGGTCGTAGTTCTCAAGCTTTTTGAGTATCTTTTTTATTATTATTTTATTTTTATTTTTTCTGTATGGCTAACACAAGTTACACAACTCTGCCAAAAAGTCTAGCCCTCAAATATTCCAGAAATTCAAGCCAAAAAGTCCAGCCCTCAAATTCTCTTTTGATGTAACTGTTAATTACATTTATGTGATATAAACTAGTCTTGGTTCCAACTACGTCTTGGAGTACTGAATTAGTGCTTTAAATTTACAATTAAATAAAATTTTAAGGCAGTAATTGGTTGCTTCCAATATACATTCAAATTTACCATGCATGTATATTATAATGAATATTTTTTGAACAAATTTGCTAAAGATATCAAAGACTAATGATACTTCTTCACATTTCAAAGTAGAAGGTGAACCTTGTGTATAAACTCCGATTTATTTTTATTTATTTATTTTTGGCAGAGAAATCAATAATTTCAATGAAAAAAAGGATATAATTTCATATAATTCTCTTATAGGAATATGAATGTTACGTAATCAAAGTGGAATAATTTCATTTCCGTGTTGGACAATTTAGTGTCTCTTACTTGAAAAATGAGTATGGAGATGCTAAGAAACAATTTTCATTTTTCACTCTGCACTGCACTTTGAGAAATTGTTTCCCTTTCGATGCATAGAAATGTGTGGGCGTTGTAGTGCTTTGCTTTTGTATATTTTGGAAATTGAATGTACAATGAAAGTGAAAGGACTTCATTTTCCTGCTCTTTAATTTTATTCAGTGTGAGTTAGGATGTGTATATCACACGATAATGACTAAATGGTCCAGAATAATTGACGAAAATTTATTCTAATGTGACCAAAGGTAGTGACTTGTCAATATCATATTTATAAATTTGATAGAAACATAGGAAAGAACTTGTGAAATCTTTCATAAAAAAAGTCATTAGGCATACCCTACAAAGAAAAAATAATAATAGTGAAAATGAAAAGAAAAGAAAAACACATAAGAAGTCTCTCCGCCAAGCCTCCTTCCCATCAACAAGCCCTTTTGAGTCCTATATGTGGGGGCTAAGCTTTTCCCATACGCACACATGATTACATAATAGTAATAATGAGAACATGCCATGCCCCAGGGTGGAAGAAAAACACTAGATTTCTTAACGCGTAAATGGGCTCCAACGGGAATTATTCCACGAGTGTGCGTGTATTCAAGTCCCTCCTCTCCTATTTTATAACAATATATATATATATATATATATATATAGATATATATATAACACTAGATTTCTTAACGCGTAAATGGACTCCAACAGGAATTATTCCACTAGTGTGCGTGTATTCAAGTCCCTCCTATATATATATATATTGTTATAAAATAGGAGAGGAGGGACTTGAATACACGCACACTCGTGGAATAATTCCCGTTGGAGCCCATTTACGCGTTAAGAAATCTAGTGTTATATATATATCTATATATATATATATATATATATATATTGTTATAAAATAGTAGAGGAGGGACTTGAATACATGCACACTCGTGGAATAATTCCCGTTGGAGCCCATTTACGCGTTAAGAAATCTAGTGTTTTTCTTCCACCCTGGGGCATGGCATGTTCTCATTATTACTATTATGTAATCATGTGTGCGTATGGGAAAAGCTTAGCCCCCACATATATATATATATCTCCAAAAACAAGATTACATCCAAATCTCAAGGTTTCAATCACGCGTTTTTGGTACAAATTTTAAACTAAATAATGTCATTCAATTGATAGATCATATGGTATGAGAATTATTCTTTACTTTTATCAATGCATTAGTGTCAAATAACCCTTTTTTTTTTCCACCAAGGTAAATAAATTTCATTAAGTTGATTGTAATTTAGTACAATAATTGATACCTATTCCATCAAACATGATTGTATATTGATATATATACACTTTACTTCGAACTTACTTGAATGAGACTCGCTTTGACAGAATGAAGAATCCCTTTTGCTAAGAAAGAGGAAACAGTAGTGGTTACAACCTAAACAATATGAAGAAATAACCAAGAACACCACAAGAAGGCCACGCAGAAGCTTTTGAATTAAACTTCTCCTTAAGAGTTGTTATATATAATGTTAGAAAGAGAGTTAAAAATATAATAGAATCAAATATTTGAAGCATAAACAAATTTCAGATTATCAGTTGCATTGTTTCTTCACAACATGTTGGCTTCACTTCCTACTTCAAAAATTCCTAACAAGCCCCGTCTTCGTTCATTATCCTCTTGCGATCCACCTGCACTAGTGGTCGATATCCCCACTTCTGAGCTGATCAGAAAGCCCAGAAGGCGATGGCGCTATGCTTTTGCAGTAATCTATTCTACCCGCGCTCTGCTTTCCCTTGCCAAGGGAATTGTAGTTCATGCAAGTCATACCATCCTCGACATCAATCCAAGAATTGAATATTGCAGTTTAAGCAATCAAAATGATCACCACTACCATGTGGAACCAGCCAGCCTAGTGAAGATGGTGAAGGAGAAGAATTTTGATCTTCTTCATCAGCTAGGAGGAGTACAAGGCATTGCGGCAAATCTTGAAAGTCATGTTGATAAAGGTATCCGTGGGGATGGTGAAGATGTGAGAAGGCGACGCGAGGCCTTTGGTTCAAACACTTACCACAAGCCACCTCCAAAGAGCTTTCTTCATTTCTTTTTGGAAGCCTTTAAAGATGCCACTATTATTATCCTTCTGGTATGTGCAACTCTCTCTCTTGCTTTTGGCATTAAAGAAAATGGGATAAAACAGGGTTGGTATGACGGCTCGAGCATTCTTTTCGCTGTCCTTTTGGTGGTTGTTGTATCAGCAGTGACCAACTTCAGGCAATCAAGACAATTTGATGAATTGTCCAAGGTTAGTAACAATATCAAAGTTGAAGTCACAAGAAATGGGAGGCCTCAACAAATCTCCATATTTGATATTTTAGTTGGAGATGTGGTGAATTTGAAGATTGGAGATCAAATTCCAGCTGATGGGTTGTTCTTGTATGGCCATTCCTTACAAGTAGATGAATCAAGCATGACAGGAGAGAGCAACCACGTCGAAATTGATGAGAATGTCAATCCATTCTTATTTTCTGGAGCCAAGATAGCGAATGGGTATGCCCAGATGGTTGTCACAGCAGCGGGGATGAACACTTTGTGGGGTGAGATGATGAGCTCCATAAGCCATGACTCGAAAGAGCAAACTGCATTGCAATCAAGACTCAACAAATTAACTTCCTCTATCGGAAAGGTTGGTTTGGTTGTTGCTTTTCTTGTTCTTCTTGTGCTGCTAATTCGTTACTTCACAGGGAATACCGAAGATAAGAATGGAAATCGTGAATTCAATGGCAAAAGTACCAAATTTGATGATATTATGAATGCCGTGGTACGTATTATAGCAGCCGCGGTGACAATTATTGTTGTAGCGATTCCTGAAGGTTTGCCGTTGGCAGTGACACTCACTTTGGCCTATTCCATGAAAAGAATGATGGCTGATCAAGCAATGGTTAGGAAACTCTCGGCATGTGAAACAATGGGCTCAGCAACCATCATTTGCACTGACAAAACTGGTACACTTACCATGAATAAAATGAAGGTGACTAAATTTGTGCTAGGCAAAGATCACATTACAGGCAATTTTAGGGACATAGTATCCCTTAATGCTCTTGAATTGCTCTACCAAGGAGTGAGTCAGAACACTACAGCTAGTCTTTACAAAGCCACTGAAGGGTCTGAGCCTGAATTCTCGGGTAGTCCAACTGAGAAAGCTATCCTTTCTTGGGCTGTCCAAGAATTAGACATGGACATTGAAGAATTGAAAAAAAATTATGTCATCCTCCATGTGGAGACCTTCAATTCGCAGAAGAAACGAAGTGGGGTTCTGATAAAAAGTAAGATTGACAACACTTTCCATGTCCACTGGAAAGGAGCTGCTGAAATGATACTAGCCATGTGTTCAAGCTTCTACGACAAGTCTGGCAACATCAAAGCCATGGATGATGGTGAAAGAGGGGAAATCAAGCAAATAATTGAAGGTATGGCTGCAGAAACCCTTCGATGTATTGCATTTGCTCATAAAAAAATTATAGAGCCAGAGTCACATTCAACGGATGATGGCAAGTCACATATAAAATTAAATGAAGACAGCTTGATTTTCTTAGGCATAGTGGGTTTGAAGGACCCATGTAGGCCTGGGGTGAGAGGAGCTGTTCAAGTCTGCAGAAAAGCTGGAGTGAACATAAAGATGATCACTGGTGACAATATTTTCACTGCAAGAGCAATAGCAATTGAATGTGGGATACTTGAATCAGATCAAAGCATGCATGACAGGGAAGTAGTAGAAGGTGTAGAATTTCGAAACTTTACCTCCGATGAGAGGATGGACTGGGTTGAAAAAATTCGCGTCATGGCAAGATCTTCCCCACTTGATAAGCTTCTAATGGTACAGTGCTTGAAGCAGAAAGGCCATGTTGTCGCAGTCACAGGGGATGGCACAAATGATGCGCCAGCTCTAAAAGAAGCCGATGTTGGACTGTCTATGGGCATTCAAGGCACTGAAGTGGCTAAGGAGAGCTCAGACATTGTCATTTTGGATGACAACTTCACTTCAGTAGTGACAGTTTTGAAGTGGGGGAGATGCGTGTATAACAATATCCAAAAGTTCATCCAATTTCAGCTCACTGTCAATGTCGCTGCCCTTGTGATCAACTTGGTTGCAGCATGTTCTGCTGGTGAAGTCCCACTAACAGCAGTCCAATTGTTGTGGGTTAATCTGATCATGGACACATTGGGGGCTCTAGCTCTGGCCACAGGGAGACCAACTGACGAACTCATGGAGAAGAAGCCGGTGGGTCGAGTTGAGCCACTTGTGACCAATATCATGTGGAGGAACCTCATTTCTCAAGCACTCTATCAAATCTTGATCCTCTTGATATTTCAATTCAAAGGTCAGTCTATCTTCAATGTGAGCGTAGAGGTAAAGAACACCCTTATCTTCAACACATTTGTTCTTTGCCAAATCTTCAATGAGTTTAATGCTAGGAAGATGGAGAAGAAAAATGTCTTCAAAGGGATACACAAGAACAGGTTATTTCTCTGGATTGTGGCGATTACTGTTGTTCTTCAAGTTATAATGGTGGAGCTTTTACAGAAATTTGCAAATACAAAAAGGTTGAATTGGCTGCAATGGGGTTTGTGTATTGGATTAGCATCTATGTCTTGGCCACTTGCTTGGGTTGTGAAGTGCATACCAGTTCCTGAAAAACCATTTCTTACCTCTGTAAAAGGGAAGCTCTTGAGAAGTCCAATTTAGACGTGTATATATATATACATATATTGTGTTTGTGTGTGTTTGTTAGAGAATGTTTGCAAGTATTCATTAATAAGATGAAATGTAATTGATATATCTATATAAATATATATATACATAACATGTATAATCAATGTGGACACTGCTTTTTACAAACAAAAAAAATGTGGATTTAAAATTATATATATGTATTTGATATGCTTTAGTAATAAAATTAGAAATTAAATGATGTGCTGTGGTTTTTTCTCTTTTTTCTACACCATCTCTGCCCAACCTTGTCTAAGCTTTTCCAAACCGTTCCACTTTAAGGCTTCAAACAGTCATTCCAATCCAAAGTGAGTTGGATTGAGATTGTTATTATTATTATTATTATTATTATTTTGAAGTCTCTAATTTCGTGATTTGGTCCTTATTAGTAATTTTTAATAATCAGATCATTTCTAGTAGCCCCACTATAAATAATTGTAGTTCTCAAGCTTTTGAGTAGCTTTTATCATTAATACCAATTAAGTTCTCTCTCAGTGGATTAACCCTTTGAGAGATTTCTGATAAGTTTTTTTATAATTATATTCAGGTTCTTTTTTTTTTTTTTTTTTTATGTGGGTGAGTAATCCAACTCCAGACTCAACCGAATCTAACCTGATTTTGCAGTTTACCAACCATTAACAGATTAGTATAGTGACACCTGTGTTAAACAGATAAGCAATTAACAGACGTAAATGGAATAGTCGTGATTATGTGAAAATGAGTGCACACATAGAGACCCGCATGCATGTTTTATATAGAGAGAGAGAGAGAGAGAAATTGTACCTCCATTCAAAAGCTCATTGACAGACACAGAGAGCTGATTGATTGTACGGATTGAAGATTAAATAGTTTCTGTATTTCTAGGGTTTTTAAAAGGAGGGGACAAGACAAACATGTCTGTTCGCTGTATGTGGGGGACGAGGAACCATTGCACTGGTCTATAAGAAATTAAGAATTCGTTCCCGGTTTGGGTTTTTGCAGTAGAATCGGGTTGACCCACTATGCAATGGATCGTTTGTGGGTCACGAATGGGCCTGGTAACATGTCCAATTTGAAAATTAGTTTTATTTTTGCGAATTTGGTTTTACTGAATTGGGCCAGTGCATGGATTACTTGGGTCATCCCTTTTTTATTTTAATTTTTTCTGGCAGATTAAGGGGGTGGACTCGACACAGGCACACCCGTTGGCAGATTAAGAGGGTGGACTCGACACAGACACACCCGTTCAAAGAGTTAAACGTTCTACAAACTAAGTCACTCAATAATGCTAGGGTGATACTTATCTAAGCCAATATTAAAACTTGTTCACCTTATTATTAAAGTTTGTTTATTGGCCCATCAATCTTACTGGAAAAATCCCTTGCAAACTTTTTACACCATCCAAACGAAGGAGTAACGATACAAAAATTGAAGCCAATGAATAGAGTTTAACAAAGACTTTAGAGCCAATGAATAGAGTTTAACAAAGACTTTATGCTGGTGAATGAATAAACTCTAAATAGCTGACACATCAGACTATTATTGTAAGATTTAGTTAGTTGAAAATTGAAACAACCCTAAATTGCTAGGGTTTAGAGGAAGTTAAAAATTGCCCTAATTGTTGCAAGCAAGGAAACCTGCAAAGGAGCTCTATATGATCCTTCTTAAGGGACCGCGGGACCTATTTGACATAACAGGTACTTTAAATAAATCATTGATTCAATTTTCATGAATAAAACTATGGGTATCTAGTGATATTTTCTCTATCTTTTAAAGTGAATGGTGAAGGTTCGAATCTCTAAAGAGTAAAGTGAAATATGTAAGTAATGTGTATGCATTTCTTGTCAAAAAAAAAAGTAAAAAATTTTGTGTCCAATTTTAATTTCAAAATGTTAGTTTAAACTACTATGATTTTTTTTTATGCCAGCAAGAAGTTCAGTTAAGTTTATTGTAAAAAATTTCTTTTTTAAGTTTGATATTGTTGTTTTTAGTGAGAATACAAAAATAATAATAATAAAAATAAAAAAATCTCCCTTCTTTTACACTTGGGAAAGCATCCAAAGTTTCAACATTGTTCTCTAGTGATTTGGGTAAATTGCACGTTTTTTCACAAATAGATTATCAAATGAAATCAATTTTATCCTCGGTATAAATTACTGATGATCACAAATGCCGAACCCAAGTAGTATCTCTTCGGATAATAACCATTATGATAGGTGAGGTTCAAGTTCTAGTTTGAAAAATGGTATTAAAAATATAAAAAAAAAAAAAAAAAAAAATTGAAATGAAATTAGTGATAGTTTTTTATTTAAAAAATAAATATTTAGTGATTATCCTCAAATTAAATGAACTTACAAATCACATGAGACTTTATCTTTAATACAAATTTGTTAAAGGAATAAGTCTGCATTGTGTAAAAGGGATAGCTCGCTAATGCATGATTTGGAGAGGGTCAAACTTGCATAGTCATGGTAAATCAACTTTATTAATTAGAAAAGGAAAAAAATACGAAGGAAGAAGGTTATATTTTGTTTCAAATCCAAATCACAAGTAGAATAACTTTATTGTTGTGTTAAGACTATCTCGTGTTTTTGTCCACTATGTTGCCAACTCTATCATATTAAGAAAAGAATTTTAAATTTTACTAGTGGAGGTATGCCGATTCTTTTCTTTTCAATGGAGTTTAGTTAGTTTATTAATTTTTTCGTCATGTTTTGTTGGAGGTTTCTTTATATGCTTTGCAAATTAGACATAATTTCTCACACGGTTTCATTTGGTTAAATAAAAATTAATACTGAAAAATAAAAGTTAAAGAAAGTAAAGTTAAAGAGAAGAAAATAAATTTTGTATAATTCATTTGGTTAGCATGAAATTCTTTCAAGAAATTTGTAAAAAATATAATTTTCTTTCCTTTTTTTTTTCTTTTTTTTTTTTTTCTTTTCTTAAAATTTCTCTTTTTGACACACACGTATTATATATGTACAGTACCTTCTTTTTTTTTTTTTCCTTCTCTCTCCTTATTCTTTAAATTTATTGCTACAATTTTATGAGCATGATGTCCAGACTATATGTTTCTAAACTTTTCTTTAACACAATTATTTTCAAATTAATTTTTCATTTTTAAATTAATTTTTACCTTCATTACTAATGGGGATGGAACTTCCATACGATTTTAGCATTTTGTTCTTGTTGCTTGATTCCTACGGGGTGGGACATGGCGCGGCTCGGCGAGGAGACGAACTTCTTCCCTAAATTGGAATGAAGTGGCTCTTTGTCATCTTGTGCATGTAGGTTAGATTTTTATTTTAAGTCTTTGAGTAAAGTACACTAACACCCCCTCAAGTTTGATAAAATGACACACAAATAAAACTTAACCTATTTTAAGACAATAACACCCTCTTAAGTTTCATACAGTTACCAAAAACATCCAATGATAATGAATTGACATTTTTGCCCTTTAACTTTTATATTGACCCATTTAAATATTGAAATTATCTTTCTAACCTTAATAACCCATTTCTTTCTCTCCCTTCTCTCTTCCTTCATCCTTCCATTTTTTTTTTTTTTTTTTTTTATATAATACACACACGTGTGTGTGTGTGTGTGTACACACACACATACATAAATATATATATATATATCAACACTGTGTCAATGATTCATTCCGTCATTATGTTATAGTGTATCAAGCAGAAGAGCCACATAATAAAACAAATGGAAAAAAAACTTATTACTGAAATGGTCGAATGGACAAATTAATAAAATAAGAAACAGAAAATTTTACTAAAATCATAAACATCAGGCTCCCAAATCCAATTAACACAACCTAAAATTAGAACATGTAGATCTAACTCATAAATTGGATTTAAAATATATTAAACAGGTCTTGAAAACAAGCCAAAAGCTAGATTTATAGCAGTAAAGCCTCCATCTAATGCTGGAGTCATTTATGAAATTAAGAAGTACTGAGAAATTTCATGGCTTAGAATATATCTTTTATATATATATATATATATATATATATATAACTCACCCAAAATTCTTCATCGATTACAGTCTCATGTGTCACAAAATTCCCTAACTCAATTCTATTTTCTTGAATTAACTCTTCTACTTTCTTCTGCAACCCTCACTTTCTCTCTCTAAAACTATTATCTTTCTCTCTCTATATCATTCTCTCTGCAATCCCTCTCTCTCCTTCTCCTATTCAGGGGCAATTGTGTCGTTTTAACAAGTCAGCTTTTTTACCACAAATTTGAATTTAATATCTATTGGAACCAAAATATTGAAAACGGTGAGTATCGAGGCTTAGAGGTGCGTAATCGCTTCTTGAAGATAGTTGAAACCTCTCCCACGTGCAACGGAAGACAAATGGCAGCACTATCTCCCGGATTCAACTAAGCCCAGATATCAAAACTGTATGTTCATGAAGGTTGCACTTCTTCTTCATGAACCTATGTATTTATCTCCGTCCGATCAACATAAAATATGAAACTTACACACTCAAAATCAATAGTTTGAAAACACCTTTTCAAATCCCTTTTGATTAACTCTAACTAGTTTAAAGAGTGTGTATCGTAGGCTTCATATGCCATATATTTATACTAATATATTTAGAAGACATTAATTAAATATTTAATGTAACTTTAAACTTAACTCATAAATAACATATTAATATAGTAAATTAAATGCATCAGGTGAAGAACTTAAAGTTTAAAGTTTAAAATTTGTAATATCTGTAATATCAATACTTTGTCTTCATAAATATAGAGTTACTATATTAATTTGAAACATAACTCCAACAATATTAAGGGGTAATTTTGTCTTTTCATATGATTTAAGGCCTTGTTTGGATTCAAGGGGGTGTCATTGTCCCAAAATTGGCTAAGTTTCGTTTGTGTGTCCTTTTTATCAAACCTGGGGGGGTGTTAGTGTACTTTACCCTAAATCTTTTGGGAGTAATTTGTTAGGAACATTACCGCCCTCTAATCAGTTCTTGCCATGAGAATTAAATTCCCCTGGGAGAAGCATCATCCATTAATATAAGTGTGTGTGTGTGTGTATGCGTGTGTATATATATACATAGATATGACAATCATACATGGGCAAAGATTTTAATGCGCTAATC